CTTTCCACCTAAAATGGTCTTCTTTGGTCTCTCAGGCTCTTTCTAGAAGCATCTAACTCTTAAGTCCCCACTCATTGGAGGGGCTGCTATCCCCTCTTGCTCTTCATAGGGTCTCCCTCATTTCCTCCCCGGTGAGAGGACATCTGGATGCAGGAGCCGGCCTCTGCTTGGGGCACTGGCCACGTCTCATGTCTCCTGGTTTCAGGCCGTGAGCCTCACCCTACCTGCTTGCACTACTGAGCCCCTGCTTCAGGGGTAACAAGGGTCTGCTCTCGGCCCAGCCAGATTGGGTGGTCCCCCTGCAACCCTCAGCCCCAGGACCACCTTGCCCCTCCTTGGTGGCCACTAATGAGCTCCCAGGATGGTCCTTCTCATGCAGGGATTCTGAATTCGTTCCTTTCTGTGCTAAAGGGAGAGCCAGGATCTTGAGGACCATCTCGGTCCCACCTGCTCAGTAGCTCCTCTGCTTGTGAAACTGGCCTCCTCAACCAGCTGGGGTTGCTGCTGGAATTTCTATCATCTCTCTCACACCCCTGACACCCACGCTTTGGAGAGGATGGGGATCCTCCCGCCCAGGAACCTGCTCGTTCTCGCTCTAGCTGATTCACTCATCACAGTACCAGTGGGCCACTTTCTCCCTAGGGGGGACTTACCCAAGCCATCTCCCCCTTCTTGCTCACCCCGCGGGCCTCCTGTCCTAGACAACAGGTGCCTGCCAGGACACTGGTAAATCGAGGGGACAGGAGGTTGTATACCAAGTGTCACGCATGCTCTGTTACATTTGTCCCTCTGCCTGGCCTGCAGGAGAATCAGTGAGCTTCCCTCTCCTCCTTCTCCCTTTCACCTCCTCCTCCTCCCCCCTCCCCATACCCCTTTCCTCGGGCTTGTCACTGAGGGCCAACCCAGCCAACTCCTCTGGCTGCTAGGAATTGCAGTTCTGACCTGACCCTTATCTGCCCTCGGGCCTGCTGCAGGCCGAGTGCCTGAATACTCTCCTCTTCAGACGGAGGCCCATCCCTTGAGCACTGACTTGGCTTTAACCATGGACACCTGAGCCCTTAGGGAATTCTGGATTGGAGGACAGTGTTATGTAGAGGTCGCAAGCCCCAGAACATAGCTACGTGGGCTAAAATAGCTACGTGGGCTAAAATAGCTACGTGGGCTAAAATCTTGGTGGCACCACCGACCTGGCACACCCTCGGTCGGGACAGCTGGCTCTGCTGAGACCACAGCCCCATCAGTAAGTGGGAGTGACCACAAGAGGGTGGTTATGAGGCCACAGAACGTGCTCCTCAGCATCTGGAATGCAGTACTAAGGAAATGACCATTAGTGAGGTTATGATGTCGGAATGGGTCCCAGTGGGGAAACCGTGACCCAGAAGAGTGGAATAACTATACTAAATCTTTCTGCCTCAGACCCCTGGCTAACCTGGAGGCCATGGCTCCCTCCAAGGGCTCTGGTCTTATTTCCAACATCATCAAAGGGGTAGATCTCCACTCCTGACAGGAGCTGAGCCTGTTGAGGCCAGCCAGTGAAGAAGGCAAGGGACCACGCTGATGGGCCACCTCATCTCGGGTCAGGACAAGCCTGGCTTTGCTACCAGGAGGTGGACTCCCTTTTCTGCAACTCATTAAACGGTGCTGAAGCCAAACACATACTTCGTGGGCTTTGAAGAAAGTCACCTTCATTTCACTTGTGTGTATCCTGTTGAAAGGAAGGAAGGAAGGAAGGAAGGAAGGGGGGAGAGAGGGGAGAGAGTATGGAAGGGAGGAAGGTTGGGAGGGAGGAAGGGAGGGAGGGAGGGAGGGAAGCAGGAAGGGAGGGAGGGAGAGAGGAAGGGAAGAAAATCATAAAGCCGAGAAGTCCTGGCCTCTGTCATCAACTGCTGCAGGTGTCCCTCCCTCCCAGCACAATGAGGGCAATGATGGGACCCGGCAAAGTGGGTGCCACAGGACAGGCAGCACCTCCATGCCGGTTCTCTGCCCAGGCTCCACCTCCGACCTGACCTCCCCATCTCTTGTCCAGGTTCGTTCTGCTGCTGCTTCCCTCCTACACTCTTCAGCAACCCCCTCCAGCCCCAGGCCCTCTGCACAGCCTTCCCTCAGCCAGGAGGGCTCTCCCCTCCTCTACCCAGACCTCAGCCAGTGCCGCCTGCTGGAAGGGGCCTGTCCGGGCCCGAGGCTGGCCACGGCCCCACTCCAGTTGCTTCCGCAGCCCCAGACCTCTCCTGTAGCTCAGGGAATCACAGTGAGTTCTGGATGGCTCGTCTGCTCGTCCGGTGGGGCCGCATTCCGAGGCACTGACTAAAACATCTTTGCCGCTACAATTCTTTTTTTTTCCTTTAAATGAATTAGGCGGCTGAGGCCGCTGCCGCCTCAGGGTGAGGGATCCTGGATGAGCAAAGAACAAGCTCAGCAATCCGTAGCTTCGGAGTTTGTACACTCAGGCTGCCAATCAGTCCCGAAGGAGAGGCTGTGGGAGAGCCAGCCTGCTGAAGCCAGCACAGCACCCACGCCGTAGGTCTGTAAGAAGCAGACCTAGAATCGGGCCCGCGCGGGCTGGGAGCGGACAGCAAGGGCTGGCAGAGACGAGGGACAGAGTGCCTGCGAGGGGGCTCTGTGTCCTGGCCCCCCCACCCCACCCCAGCTTTTGCCCGTGGCCCTGGCGCTCCCTGCGGGTCACCAGGGGCCAGGAGCATGGGGAGGAGGCAAGCAGGCAAAGGGGTCGCACCGCCCCCCAGCGGGGCACAGTCTGGAGCAACTCTCTCCCTGTGGCCAAAGGCCCCCCCCTGTCCACCAGACGTGGGGGGGAAAGGCTATCCCAGCAGTGTCGGCACCCACTGGTCCGGCGACACCAGCGTGAGGATGAGGAAGGGGGTTCCCTTCCCCAGGGCCGTCGACATGAAGAAAGGAGGCCCCTGCATCCGCACACCCCACCTCCCCACCACATATCCCAACACCCCTCCCACCCCGTGCTTGGGACACTCCCCGGGAGGAACCAGATGTGGCTGAGAAAAACCTGATGGGATTAAGTCTCCGTCAGGAGCAGAATGAGGCCCCAGGAGAGAAATGAGCTAAGTGGCTTGTTTTTTCAGAGAGCCAGGCTGGGTGGGTCTGGTTCACTGCTGTGGCCTTGGGCTAGCACCAACCCCTCGAGCAGCGGGTACTCCGTCCGTGGGCCCTCCTGCCGGCCAGAAGGTCAAGTCGGGCGAGGGTGCGGTTCTCACCAGGCCAGAGGCTGCGATGCCCTGCCAGTCCCAAGCTAGGGCGTCCCGGTGGATCTACACACCGTGACTACACAGGGCCGGCTCTAGGAAGAAGGCTTGCGGGCCCGGTGGGCAGGAAATGGGCCCAGGAAGAAAGTATATCATGCAGGTGAAATGGTCTCCTGGCCCTTAGACAGTGGCCATGTCCTCGAGTGGGCAGCCACAGAGGGTCTCTGGGGAGCAGCTGGGGGGCCAGCCCTCCAGGGTCTCACTTCGTCCAGAGCCACAGGCTGGGAGGGCCAGGACTCCTCTGGACACTGCCCTGCTTGGACCAGGTGACTCAACCCCAAATACACTCCCTGTCAGGACGGACGTACAGAGCCCCCACCCCAGCCCCGGAGGGATACAGCTGCCGAGGTGGGGACAGCACAGTGGAAAACTGCCCTTGCCTGAGCAGAGTCCTTCCTTCCTCATCTGGATGCCCGAGCTGGTGAGGCCCTGAGAGCCAGAAAGTCAAGAAGCTCAGGCTGGCTGAGCTTCAGCAACTTTCCCTCACCTTGTCTCCTACTTGACCGTACCTCCTGGGGCAGCCCTAGTGTACCTGTCACAGGGGGCCTGGCAGGAAGACCCCAGAGGTGGGACAATCAGGGGTTCCCTGCAAGGGCAGTGGAGGGGGGAGGCCTTCAAGAAAGCCTGGGGACGTGATGGCTGGTTCGCGTCACCCTTCCCAGCAGACCGAAAAGAACAAAAGTGGAGACTCTGACATCACCCCGCCCCCTCCCCACTTGGCTGCTGGGATCTCGGGGACGTGGGGTGAGAGCAGCACAGAGTGGGGGACACTGCTCTGAACTGTGCAGGACAGGAGGGGCTGGAGACCTGGGGGCACAAGGAGGGGACCAGTCAGCGCGGTGGAGGGTCTACTCAGGGGACCACTATGGCCGCCAGCTTCTCCACCTGCCCATCCCTCCTTGGTCCCACGTAGCACCTGCAGCACCCATGGCGATGAACGGGGAGGCTCCTCAGCCCCCCTCATCAGTGTGGGGGGCAACCCCCCAAGATGTGCAGCTGGGCTCCCAGGGGCCAGACGCCGGAGGACCTCAGGGCAAGGGCTAGAGGTGGCCACTCCTTGAGTGACACGTGAACAGCATTTATTTTCCAGGCCTTCAGCAGACGTTCCAGCCTGCTGACTGTGCTGTGCCCCGAGCAGGGCCCCAGGGCCGGAGGTACAAGAAATCTCGGAGCCGGTCACAGGCAGGATGGCGTGCGGTGCCTGGAGACGGGCGTGCCCTGGAATTCGGGGTGTCTGCTGAATCCATGGTGGGTCCCTAGGGGAGCGGGGACCAGGCGGGCAGGCAGGGAAGGGGCTGCAGCTCAGAATGAGGGCTCGGGGCCCTCTCACTCCAGAAGCACCTCACTGCTGGCACCCTCGCCGATGGGCCGCAGACCCGGGAGTGGGGACTTCCCTGAGGGGTGGGGGAGGCCTGCTGGACCCTCGGCTCCTTCCGGTCTGGAGCCCCAAGCCCTGAGCAGCCCGGCCGTGGCCTGAGGTCAGCCTGCATCCCCCGGGGGGGCACGTGTCTTGTCCAGGGCCCCTGGGCCAGCCCTGCCCCGAGATCAGTTTAAGGCCTGGCAGGGCTGGGGAAAGGGGGGAGACATGCAGTGGGCCCGGAACATCGGAGAGGGAGCCCCGGGCCAGAACACTAGCTCTCCCCGCCGCCACCCCTCACAGGCCCTGAGGTGGGAGCCCTGAGGCCAGGGGCCCTGCGGAGAAGCCCGGACGGAGCACAGTCCAGCTCAGCGGGGCCGCTTGCTGTCCAGAATGGCCTTCCAGTCGTCTGCCCACGAGTGCAGCCTGCGGCTGGGAGGCTGCAGCTGCAGGTGCCGATTGTGACAGGCCGTGAAGAGGATGTGCTCCCAGCTGGGGGTCGGCTCAGCCCCTGTGGGCAGGAAAGCAGCACTTGAGGCCGGCTCCAGGAGGCCTGGGGCGTCCTCAGCAACAGCGGGCCTCTCTGAGACCCGGCTTCCCCGTCGGTCAAGTGCTGACTGCGCCAGCACCGGCTCACTGGGGGGTTGCAAGGGTTAAATGAGATGGGCCACGAGGAGGAGCACCTGGGACGGCCCCCAGGGGACCCAAAGCAAACGGTGGCTTCCGTGGTGGTGGTGATGGTGGTGGTCGTTCTCACCACGGCCGCCCTCAGAGCTGAGCCCTGCTGACGCCCTGCCCTTCCCCTCCCTCGTGCTTGGCCTTCCCTCACTGGCCAGTGCCGGCTTCGCAGCTTCCCACCTGTTGACCGTGGATAACCTTCGATCCCTCAGGTCCACCTGCCCACACCAGCACTCTGGTGCCGATCCTGCCCCCCGGGTTACAGCCTGACTCCCCAGCTCCTCCTGCACAGGCCTCCCCCCTGCTCCCCGTGGTCGGAGACAGAAGCTGGGCGGGGCTCCATGCCCCCCATGTGCCCTGACTCTCCTGTGGAAGCACGTGGCTTGGGAGGTCAGGGGTGGGCACACGCATGAAGCCCACTCTCTGGACACACTGTGACCCGTGTGGAGATAGATGGGTGTGTTTCCCGAGCCAGCTCCAGAGGCCATTAGGGAAGCGATATTCTGTATTCTCCCACTGAGATGACCAAAAGAATAGGCGTTAACTCTGAAAGCCCCGATGGCTACCAATGGCTACCAGGGGAGCCTGACCGAGTACAAAGGCAAAGCAGAGCAGTCAGGAGATAAAAGAAACCGAATTCTGACTGGTGTTTGAGTTCCTAGATTTACCGCAGCAGAAGCCTTCCTACCCAGATAGGTGCACTGATGAATTTCCCCTCTCCCCTGGAAGGTGGTATAGGGTTTGTTTGTTTGGAGGGAGGGAGGGAGGGAGGGAGGGAGTCACCCATCAGCAAAAGGGACAAATACAGCTCCTTCAACTAGACACATTATGCTCTTCTGTTTTCCAGCAGGTTCAGTCCACATTGCCCTTGGGGGAAAAAATGGCTTTGGTGCTAAAAACAAATGTTTGGAGGCCGGCCTGGTCCTCGTTTTACATGAGGTAAAAAGGGACTCATCCGACGAGTTACCCCAGGAGCTGAGACCTGCTTCTCCCGACTCCTAGGGGCACCCCTTCCAAGGCCAGATGCTGCCGGATGCTGAGAATAACCTTGCCTTCCCGGTAGGGGAGCATTGGAGGCTGAAGGCCTGATACACATCTGGTGATTAAGTGGGGACCACTCAGGACAGGGGCCGTGAGGCCAGCCCTGCATGCTGTCGGTCCCAGTGGCTCCCAGCTCTCCACACTTGCTCCTCACCTGCGGCAGGCCACTTGCCTGTGATGTCTGGCCGGTCATCTATGAGAAGGTCGGCAGAGACCACGGTCTTGTCTGTGGCCAGCACAATCTGATCCAGAAAGTCGGGGCCAAAGTGCTTCTCCACCCAGGCATACTGGAACACAAACAGGGAGGGGGAGAGGAAGGGACCGTCAGGCCTGGGCACAGACACGGCTGGGGCACAGCCAGGCTTCTTCCAGGAGGAAGGGCCGCCATCAAGATGTGATGATCCCAGTGGCAGCAGAGGAAACATACTCAAGGAGATGGTGGGACTTGTCCATGTCCCCATAGCTAGAAAGCGGCAGAACCCTGGCTCAAACCCAGGCCGCCCTCACCCCAGCTCCAAGCCCGCACATGCCTGGCCTACTCAACCCAACACGCATGCTATGAAGGCCTCCTGCACCTTTTATTTTTAATGTTTATTTATTTTTGAGGGGGCGGTGCAGAGAGAGAGGGAGACAGAGGATTCGAAGCAGGCTCTGTGCTGACAGCAGGGAGCCCAACGCAGGGCTCGAACTCATGAACCATGAGATCATGACCTGAGCCGAAGTCGGACACTCAACCGACTGAGTCACCCAGACGGCCTGTCACCACCCATCATCTTTTAAAAAAAAATTTTTTTAATGTTTATTTATTTCTGAGAGAGAGAGCATGAGCAGGGGAGATGGGAAACTCCTTTGGGGATTAAATGGGACAATGTATGTAAAAGTCTTAGCACAGTGCCTGGCACACAGAAAGTGCTCGTACAAGGCCGCTGGACAAAGGGTGCCACTGCTGGTCTCATCTCTCCTCTCCTGTGGTTCTGATGTGTCTGAGCTGCGGGACTTAAACCATTTAACCTTCTAAGACCTGTGTCTTTGCAGTGTGGTTATGATCACATTAAATCTGCGTAGGACACAGAGTAATGCCTGACACGTAGTAAGTAGTTAATAGATGTTACTTTAGTTAAACGTTGAGAGCCCTGCATTATATGTAAAAAAAGCTACTAGAATAAAGAAGTTTAGCAAGATGGCAGGATACTAGGTCAACACGCAAAAATCACTTGTATTTCTATACCTTTGGATATTGAAACAAAAGAAACAATACCTTTACAATAGCGCCAAAAAGAAACATGAAACAGATTGACTCTACTCTTAGAAATAGTTTAGATGGTAAATTTTTTTTTAATTTTTTTTTTTTTAATTTTTGAGACAGAGAGAGACGGAGCACGAGCAGGGGAGGGGCAGAGAGAGAGGGAGACACAGAATCAGAAGCAGGTTCAGGTTTTCGAAGTTAAGAAACAGAGCCGGACGCGTCGGAACTCCCCAGGACCGTGAATGCGGACGAGCCTAAGTCGACGCTAACCTACCACTGAGCCACCCAGGCGCCCCTCAGATGGTAAATATGCGCAAAAAGTACTACCACACACAATTCAAACATTTTATTTTTTTTTATTATGCCATGCTGATGATGTTTTTTTAGACAGAGAGAGACAGAGATGGAGGGAGAGAACATTGGAAATAGGCCTGGTGTTTCTGAAAGCCAGCCCACGCACGCCAGATCTGTGACTAATGTCGATCACGCTGACCCAGACCGGGCGCCACACCAGGCGCCTCTCCCAAACATTTTTTAAAAAAAAATGCCTTTAAAAAATAAGGACAGGCTTGGGCGCCTGGGTGGCTCAGTCGTTAAGCTGCCCCAGATGTCAGGTCACCTGACATCTCACGGCCCATGAAAAGCTGAAAGCCCCCGCGGTTGTGCTCTGTGCTGTCAGCATGGAGCTCGCCGGGCTCTAAGCCTTCCTCTCTCTGCTCCTCCCCCAGGTGTGTCCCCTGTTCTGCCCTGCCTCAAAATAACAAACATTTTAAAAATTTTAAATAAGGCAGGCTTTATGCAAAAAAAAAAAAAAGCACAAAAACGAAAAAAGCAAAATAGGAATAAATTTAACAAAATGTGTGCAAGACCTATATGCTGAAAAAATACAAAATATTCCTGAAGGAAATTTCAAAGATCTAAAGAAATTGTCATTTTGTATGAATGACATAGGTATGAATGTTCATGGCTCAGCAGATTCAATGTCATTAGCCTTCACTGATAAGATGCAATTCAATCAAATTCCCACCAGGCTTTTTGTAGAAATTGACAGCTGGTTCTAAAATGTATAGAGAAACACAAAGGACCTAGAACAGCCGACAGTTTTTTAAATGAATAAAGTTGGAGAACTCACATCGTTTTCAAGAGTTACTCTAAAACGACAGTAACCAAGAGTGATATTCACATGAGGATAGACATTTAGATCAAAGAGACAGAATATATTTAAGAAACACACCCAAAGGTACCAGGGTAATTCAACAGAGGAACAGCTGGGCATCCACGGGCCAAAAAAAGAAAAAAACAAAACAAAAAACAACCCGACACACAAAAACTTTTATTTTTAACTCCTACCATATATAAAAAGTAACTTGACATGGGCCATAACCTAAATATAAAACCTAAAATTATAAACACTGCTCTTCCAAAGCCACAGTTAAGGAAAGGAAAAGACAAGCCACACACTGGCAGAAAATATTTGTAAAATCCGCTATCTGATAAAGGACTTGTATGTAGAATATACAAAGAATTTTCACAACTCAGACGAAGACACAAACAGCCCAAGAAAAATCAGTCACTTGGAGTGCCTGGGTGGCTCAGTTGGTTGAGTGTCCGACTTCGGCTCAGGTCATGATCTCACAGTCCGTGAGTTCGAGCCCCGTGTCGGGCTCTGTGCTGATGGCTCAGAGCCTGGAGCCTGCTTGGGATTCTGTGTCTCCCTCTGTCTGCCCCTCCCCCCTCATGCTCTGTCTCCCTCTCTCTCTCTGTCAAAAATAAATAAACATTAAAAAAATTTTTTTTAAATGTAGACACTTTATCAAAGAAGGTATACAGAGGTCAAATAAGCACAGAAGAGATGCTCAACATCGTTAGTCATTAGGGAAACACAGATCCAGACTGCAGAGACAGATAACTAGGAACCTACTAAAACAGCTGAAATTTAAAAATATTGAGGGGTTCCTGGGTGGCTTGGTCGGTTAAGCCTCTGACCCTTGGTTTCGGCTCAGGTCACGATCTCATGGTTTGTGGGTTCGAGCCCCACATTGGGCTCTGTGCTGACAGCACAGAGCCTGCTTGGGATTCTCTCTCTCCCTCTCTACCTGCCCCTCCCTGGCTCATGTTCATGTTCTTTAAATAAATAAGTAAACACACAAACTTTAAAGAAGTGAAACACACACCCACCATACAACCCAGCCAATCCTACTCTCGGTATCTGCCCTGGAGAAATGAAAGCATATGTCCACCCAAAGATGTGGACATGAATGTTTACAGGAAATTTATTCACAACAGCCAAAAGCTACGAATATCCCAAATGTCCATCAACTGGCACATGGATAAACAAATGACGATCCAGCCATAGAGCAGAAATATGTTCAGCAACAGACAGGAATAAAGTCCTGATGCATGCAACAGCATCAGTGAATCTCAGAAGTATTATGCCTTTACTTTTTTTAAATGTTTATTTTTGTTTTTGAGAGAGAGAGAGAGAGAGACAAAGTGTGAGTGGGGGAGGGCCAGAGAGAGAGGGAGACACAGAATCCCAAGCAGGCTCCAGGCTCCGAGCTGTTAGCACAGAACCCGAGGCGTGGCTCAAACTCATAAACCTCAAGATCACGACCTGAGCCGAAGTTGGATGCTTAACCAGCTGAGCCACCCAGGCGCCCTTCAAAAGTATTATGCCTTCAAATGAAAGCCAGACACAAACTGTATGAGTCCCTACTATACGACTTTCCATAAAAGGCAAAACTGTAGGAACGGACACATCAGTAGTTCACTCCTACCAACAATACCCAGAGAGGGAAAGGGCAGGGAAAAGGGACTGACTGAAAGGGACACAAAGACACACTATTTTTTTTTTTAATTTATTTTTTAGAGCACTTTTAGGTTCACGGAAAAATTGAGCACAAAGTACAGAGAGTTCCCATATAATTCCTGTCCCCAAATATGCACAACTTCCCCCATTGTTCACATCCTGCAACAGAGGGGGGCATTTGTTATATTCAGTGAACCTATGTTGACACATCGCTATCACCCAAAGTCCATATTTTATGTGAGGGTTCCCTCTTGGTGTTGTACATTGTATGGACTTGGACAGATATATAATGACCTGTACCTGCCATGAATAATTTCACTGCCTGAAAATCTGCTCTCCATCTATTCATCCCTCCCTCCCCACTGATCTTTTTACTGCTTCCATAATTGTGCCTTTTCCAGAATGTCATATAATTGGAATCCTCTGCTATTTCGGCCTCTTCAGATTGGCTTCTTTCACTCGTAACATGCATTTAGGTTCCTCCATGTCTTTTCATGGCTTGACGGTTCATTTCTTTTCAGGGCTGAAAATATTTCATTGCCTGGGTGTACCGTAGCTTATTATCCATTCACCTACTGTAGGATATCTTGGTGGCTTCCAAGTTTTGGCTATCACGGATAAGGCTTCTATACACATCTGCACACAGGTGTTTCCGTGGACTTAAGTTTTTAACTTGTTTAGACAAATACCGCAGAGTGTGATTAGTGGATCATACAGTGAGAGTGTGTTTACTTGTGTAAGGATGTGCCCGACTGTGTTCTCCAAGTGGCTGCCCCATTTTGTATTCCCACCAGCAATGAACGAGAGCTGCTGCTGTTCCACATCTCCTCCAGCATTTGGTGTTGTCAGCGTCCTGGATTTTGGCCATTCTAACAGGTGCATAGTAGCATCTCACTGTTGTTTTAATGTGCAGTTCCCTAATGGCAAAGGATATTGAGCACACTTTCATGTGCTTATTTGCTGAGTGTAAATCCTCTTTGATGTGGTGTCTGTTTAGGTCTTAAACCCATTTTTTAAAGTTTTCTTTTTTAAAAAAATGTTTATTTATTTATCTTGAGAGAGAGAGAGAGAGAGAGCGTGCTAGTGGGGGGAGAGGAGCGCAGAGAGGGGAACAGAAAATTCCAAGCAGGCTCCACGCTCAGCACAGAGTCAGATGCAGGGCTCGATCCCACAACCCTGGGATCATGACCTGAGCTGAAATCAAGAGTCAGATGCTTAACCGACTGAGCCAC